TCCCTATTTATTAACTTTGTCATTCTTAACTTCTGTATTGGTACTATGATCCTATTCTTCGGAAGTAATAAAAAAGAATTCATTATTCCTGCAAGAAAACGTTGAAGTGTCTGAGGATAATATGTGTGTCTTTCACATAGGGTTACCTCTCATGTATGCTGCATGTTGTACAGTGTTCAGTAGTTGCTATTTTACAGTGTAGGTTCTGTTGAAGTCCTCAAAAAACAGACAGTCCTGGATGTAAGATAATGTTGACTGTTGCGTAAAATAAATGTAGAAGAAGGAGAGTGCTGTCACTGAGTTACTACTGAGCTATTTAGATTTTTTTATTATTATTTTAAATAATTTCTAATAGCAAGTTGTTCCAGAATGTGGAAGAACGTAAATACAAAAAAGTTGTCTTCTATTGAAACAAACTGAAGATTGAGATTAGCAGAACTATTATGCCTTGAAACTGCAATTCTATGCAGTATTTTGTTGACCCTGCCTGGTGATCAGCTTGCTCTGAGTGATTGATTGTTCTTTTAATTAATAGTCTAGTTGGGGGTAATTGCAGATGCTGTTCTGCAAAATGATTAATCATTCTTTATGTTTTTTGAAGCGGTTTGCTTTGGTATTTTGTGAATGGAGTCCCAATGGATGATTTATGTATTATTTAACAGAACAGCATTTATTCTTATTTATTCTAAATATGTCATCTTTATATAGGATTTTAAAATTGAATGGTAAATGAAAGGTATGAGAGGTTCACAGACCTCTTGGAAGTGGTGTAATTTAATGAAAAACTGAGTATGTGGTGAATTGAGCCATGAAGCTGGCTCTACCTGACAGCTCATGACTAAGCTGGGTTTTTGTCTTGGTGTATCAGTGACTAAAGCAGTACAAAATATTTTTGTTAAACAGAAAATGCTATACTGTAATTTACAATACATGCTATAAAAAGATTATTTACTTGAAAGAACAAGAAATGATCTTTTGTACTAGTTTTTATTAAGGCAAAATGATATTTCAGAAACTTAACTTCAAATATAACTATACATTCACACATGAGCCTATGTATAGATTGTTAGACATTACAAAGACCTGATGAAAGTAATTGTGTCAGTCCAAAATAAATTTCATTCCTTTTTTTATGAATTTTAGAAATCATCTGTACAGACAATTGGTGAAGAACAAATACAGAATCCTTACACGGAACTCCTTGTGTTGAAAGGTCATCAAGATATAGTACGATTTCTAGTGCAAGTGGATGATTGCAGGTATGAAATTGTATTTCAAATTGTTTCGTAGCATCCTTAGCAATACCTCAGCAAATATTTATGAAAATGTAATATTTTTAATACTCTCTTTATTTTTGGAGGGGGAGGGCAGGAAAAGCATGGAGTTGAAGAAGGCAACAGATGAATGCTCTCTTTTCTTGGTTTGTTACTACATCTGTTGGCTTCTCTTGTAACTCCACCACCATTACTTTCTCATGAAAGTGTAATTTACATTTCTTGTTACAAATTCACTTGTTTCAAAGATATGCCTTTAGCTAATTCAGCCCTTCTTTCTCAGGCTGTTCCTGGGTTGAATGTTCCCTTCTGTACATGCATACACACACTTTCTATCCATGGGGTTTTTTTCCTACTATGCAGTATTGTCTGCTTCTGTTCTCAGTGGATGCACGTGTTCTAGGTTTTTGAACTGAGGACAGCTTTTATTTAACCTTTTGGTTCTACAAAAGACTGTAGTAGACTCCTACAGACACTCTGTAGCAACTGAACATGACATTCTCTACAATATTGAATGTTGCTGTTCCTTTCTTTCCAATCTGTTGTTAAACTTTCTTCTGAAACTCTAGTGCGTATTTCAGCAACTGTAGTTGCTGAATGCAACTTTTTTTCTCAACTTCTCAAATTTTGAAACTTTATTCAGAATGGCTACTTAGTAAAATTCAACATATACCTAATCTCTGCATTGCATATCTCCTCCAATTTGATCTTGTTCAACTTGATGTACTACTTTGAAACCTGACAGTTCCTTTGTTTAAATTTTTAGCTTTGTGCACTTTTTTTGTGTATTCCTTGAAAATATGTATCTATTCTGTTCTTCGTTCCTTGTAGCTAGGTCCAACTTTATTGTGAACTCTGAGGATGGAGTTACCTAAAAACTGGAAGACTGGTTATGAAGCAGAGATGAAATCACTATATTTACCACTGTCACTTTGAAAGTGTGACTGAGAGAATGAGTTATGGTAGTTATGTCTTGGCTTCTGCCCTAGCTTTGTCTAAGTTAGCCTTGCATGTTCTCTAATTTAACTTAGTCCTGCAAGAGAGGAAATATTTATCTCCCTTAAAACCAAGGTTGTGAAGCCTTTACTCAATAATAAGTGTAGTGACTCTTGGCTGATGTGGAGAATTAAATAGAAAACCTTTAGATCTAAGAACATAATTAATAGGCAAGAGTCTCTCTGTTAAGGAGCTGTAGTAATTTATATCTTTTACGGATTAGGCACAGAAGGGGTTTTCTAATATATTAATCAATACACTATACAAGTTTAACATGGGTAAGAGTTCGGTTTATATCCTTGCAGTGTACAGCAGGTGTTTTGTGAAGGAAGGTTCCCTCCTTCCCCCATGCATGTTGTTAGGGCAGGTGGTCTCTTTCAAATTTGGAATGTCCGCAGAACCTAATTTTCTAATAGTTTTTTGTGAATTTTTTACATATATATATTTACAAGACTCCATGGAGAATTTTTAGCTTGTTAGTTTTCATTCTTAATGTCATAAATATATATATCAAAAAAGTCACATGGATTATGATAAAATTTAGTTTTCTACATTGTAGTAATCCACCAGAAGACTAATGTAGAAATATAAGAATCTTGTCTCAAAACACATAGTCAATAAATGTAGTTGGTCTTCATAGAAATATGAGAGTATTCTTGGATTGTGTGCACTGTCCAATGCAAAGAAATGTTTTACTGTTTTGGGCTTCATTGTATGGTAGCAGGTAAATGATTGAGGCTAAACTAATGATAATCAGTGTAAAAATAAAGCCTGGATGGCCACACTGAAGTTAGGTTATTAAATAGTCTATGGGTAAGGAGCAAGTTATATAGCTAGTTAATATTCTGAGAGTTTGAGGAGTCTAATAGAGTCGCTTCACTGGACAGTAATTCTAAGGTTTTATTTATCAAGACTATGGTAGTTTCTGGATTGTTAAACAGCTGATAATATTTTTCACTTGATTCTTTTCAGTAAAATTAGTATAGTTACTGAGCTTTTGAAATGTTTTTATTTAGTTTCTGCAGCTATTCCATTGTGTGCTTTTTGTCAACTATTGTAAGCCAAGCTTCACGCTTCAGGTCTTTAGATAATATCATCTTATTGAGAATTTTGCAGAAGGATTTTCTTGTTTTCTCAGTGGCTCAGCTAAAACCAGTGAGTGGAAAATCTTCTCAGATTGGTTTTTGAAGATACTAAATAAATCCTGTATAAATGTAACAGAAAGCTGGTTGGGTTTTGGTTGTTTTTTTTTTTTTTCTTCTTTTCTCGTGTACTTTTTGAACATGAAGTGAGGGTCATATTGATTGGAAGATTGCTAAAGAAGGCTAAGCCTCAGCAAGAGTCTTTCAAAAAACGGACTGAGATAAAATTGCATGTAATACTCTAGCATTTGACACATTAAACTAAACAGAGTTCATAACACATTTTAAGAATAGCTTTTTTTTGTTGCTTATTTGACCATTCCTTGCTCCTTCAGGAAACAGACAAGGTTCTAGATGATGGTGATCATGACTGGAAAAGAATCAGATGACCCATGAATCTCCACCTTGGTGAACAGAATGTAGCTGTAGGATAACTGACTACAGTATACCTTTACGTTTAAACAGGAATCCATGTTAGAAGATGAGGAGGAAAATACACAAAACAGCACTCTGGTCAACTTCTGTGTTGATGAATTACACTCATGCCATCTTTCAAACACCAGTTTTCCTCCCAGATTTTTTTTTCAAGTGGCACACAGCTCCAATATTACTCAAGAAAGGAATTGGAATTTAAAGAGTTACTACTGAATTGTGAGAGTCTCACTATTTTACGTTTTTGACATTGTGACAAAACAAGTTATAATAGAGCTAAAAGGCACCAAAAGATAAGAAATTATCAGAGGTGTGCATGGAAGGTTGTGTTTTGCTCTAATCCTTTTTAAAGAAGGGGCTTGATTGGATATAAAATAATGAAAGATAGGAAGAAAGTATAGCTTACACTTTTTTAAAAACTATAATAGAATAAAACAGGAGGATAGATGGAAGAAAGAGGGGGGAAAACCCTATGTCTTTATGCCTGAAAACTTATTATGTTAGCAATTTTCACAAACATTGCAAAGAGTCTAAAAGAAAGGACAGGTATATAGTTAATGAATACCATTCACGGGTGGTAACAGAGAAAAAAATTCAGAAGTGATGTAACCTCTCTTCTTCATTACCTTTTTGCACATAGTACAAATCTTAGTTAGTTCTCTAAATATTAACTGTTTAACCCTTGATGAAAGCTTAAAACAAAAGGAAAAAATTAGAAGGTAGGTATATTTACAAGTAGTAACTGAATTCAATTTTCTATGGAAGGTCTTGCTCCTGTTCTAAGCTTTCTCAACTCACAGTATGCCTTTACTGGGATAGCTGGGATGTGTGCTGCAGCACTGTGTAGCTGTGGTTGTGATAAGGTGCAAATGTAGGGGGATGGTTAGATATTCACCCTAGCCTAGGGAAAAAGGTTGAATTTACGTCAGACTTTGCTAATGTGAGATTAACATGCTAATATGAACCTGTTTTTCCTCATATGGTGTGCCTTCCAGCTGGATTTTTAGCAGAAGTCAAATTTAGGACCTTAAATGCACTCCCTTTGGGAGTTCTTTTAAGCCACAATAAGTATCATGGTAAATACTGGGCTCCTCTACTCCTGGGCTGAACTCAGATGAGTGGTGGTAATTTTTTAGATGTCTTGCAGTCACTTAGCTCTGACTGATACTATGTGGTTTTAGCGTTTGCTGTTATTTGGTGTGTAAGAGCTCATATTTTTAAACAAGAGAATTTGTTCTGTAATGTGGGATTCTATAATAATATTTAGTATGTATTGGAATTCTTAAGCCTTGTTCTTATATTAGAGTATAAGTGATAAACACCTATTTTAAATGTACTGGCTTCAGTTTATAAACTATAATTGGGATTTCCTGTTCTTTAAAGCCAGAGTCAGATATGTCTTGTAAATATTTTTCTATATAACTGATTACTGCTTTTCCATTACATTATACTGTATTGAAATTTTCACAGTTGTTTTTTTTTTTCCTTGTGGTTTTTTTTTTTTCATTTCAGGTTTGCATCTGCAGGAGATGATGGAATTGTATTTCTGTGGAATGCTCAGGTTAGTTTTTTGGGTTTTTTTGGAGGGGGTAGCTTGTGTGCTCTGGTGGGAGCAGAAGTTGAGGAGAGGTGTTAGAGACATCTAGTAGTGAAAAAGCAGAATAAATAAGAATTGCTGCAAGAGCTACTGTTTAAAAATGTGAAAGTGGGGGGAGTCTGTCAAATCTTAGTTTACAAAAGTGATCTAGGAAAGTTGTGTGAACCCAAGAGAGCAGTAAGTTTTTAAAATTTAGAATGTTTAGGGAAGACTAGTGATTTTTTAGGGAGATTTGAGATGAAATGATGATGTGAAAAGCAGAAGTGTATATGAACTTGTGGCTTTTGATTCTTCTTTTAAAATATGTTTGGTGTTTGCTGTAAACACTGAAATGTTAACTAGTAACTCAACAAATATATGGTAAGATCCCAATCCTGGCAAGGGTATATGTATATACATATACACTTAAGTACATTTCAGTGGCCCTATTAGCAATATCTATTTGTATTATAACTGATTAGACTAAATGGAGAGTTAACACAAAACTGTATTGGAAAGACACCAAAGCCAGTGGAGGTTAATTTCATGCAGTGCAGAAACAAGGCCTTAACTGCTTGCTATAATAAAATCTTATAACTTTTGAAAACCTTACTAAGACATTAGATTTATCATGGAAATAGCGCTCTGTAAGTATGATACCCACTGTTCTGCTCTTCTGCTCTGTGTCTTCAGATCATAGACAAAATTAAAGAGAAAAGATGAGCATTAGACCTGTGTTAAGGTGCGCTAGTATACAAGTTAGATTTTTCAATAGGAATTCTAAAAGGGAGACGCACTGTGCTAAGTTGTGAATATCAAACATTCAAATTAAGGAAGAAAGAAATTTCAGACTGTAAACAGTTTTTGAAACCTGAAATATTTGTGACATTTATGATGTCACATTACATTATCACATTATGATGATGTAATGTTAAAATATAGAAGGGAGAACTTGAAACTTTTCCTCTCTTTTGAGTAATATCAGTTAGTGCTTTGCTGTCTTAGAATTCTACAATTTGGAAAAGGAAATTATTTTTGAATATTCAAAACCATGTATGTGAGTATATATACTCAGTGTTCTGAGCAGTTTGTGAATGTAAAACTCATTTAGCGATCCAGCTTAGGAACTGAGTTTCATTTTCTACTTCTGTAGGATTTTTATTATGTTTTTGTTAAAGCAATTGTCTTGTGGGTTAAGTTTTTAAATTAAAACTACAAGTGTAGAGGAGTTTACAATTATAACTACCCTTTATTTTAATTGAATATTTAAAATGCCAGTATGCTTCTGCATGTTTGTAGCGTTTTGCCATCTAACTAAACAGAGCAGAAATAGCTGCAGTTACCTAAACAACCAACTTGGAGCTATACATAGTTCAAATACTAAATAAAGCTGTCAGGAAATTGGCAATGCTGTGTTTGCATAAATACAGGTCAAGTTTTTCTAATTGTTGAAATAAAAAAATTGCTTTTTCAAGGGAGGGTTTGTCAACAAATCTGAATTACTCTAGTATCGGGTGAGTGGCCAATATTTACATTAACATGAAATGAGCTTAATACAGAATTTAGTTCTCAAGGACTTTTAAAGGATTTTATACACTACTCCTTTACACTTCATATGTTGTTTAATTTTGGGTAAGATCTTGAAAGGTATTGAAGGTAGTAAGAAGTAAATCCATAAATTACTTTTAAAAGGGAGATTTTAGACTCTTAGAAATTCTTGCTTTTGAAAGTCACTTGGTACTTATGTCATATACTACAGTAGGTGTTTTCCAAATTTTTCTAGTAGTTTTCCATGTTTTTATTTTTCAGACTGGAGAAAAACTTTTTGAACTTCATGGACATACACACAAAATTACAGCTATAGCACCATTTTCTTCATCTTCAGAAGCACCTGATGAAAAAAAACATTTAATTTTAACAGCATCAGCTGACAGAACAGTTATTGTATCCTTAGATCTGAAGAAGATTCAAAGTTCTATGGGCTTTTTGTTGGCTTTTGCTTTTAAAGATAGCATTGAGACAGGTTGCAAGTTGTTTAAATTTATTGGCTGACAATATCCAGTAGGTATGATTGTATTACACTAGGATTTTACTAGTTATTGCTCACAAGCAGATGCAGTCCTTGCTACAAAAATGATTCCTATGGATTTATTATTAATAATAATAATAATTAATAATGATTAGCAATATTATTAATATGTCATTTTGGCCAAATACTGAAAAGACAATCAGGGTTTAGATATGCAATCTGCATACCTATTTTCCAATGTCATTTAGCTACACACAGAGTAGTTTTTTATAATATATAAAAACGTTTAGTTTTCTTAATGAATAAAGTCAGGTTTGGGACTGCACTAGTGGCAGACAGGTTCAGAAAGTGTCATGTTTCCATTCGACTGTGAAGGTAAGCTGAGGAAACCCTAGGTAAGTTTGTTGTTTTGTTGTATACAAGAATCTATTACGTATAGCTTGTGCGCCATATGGGCAGGTATGTTAAAGTGAACAGCAGTGCTTGGTTTAAGAACAGGTACGGAATGAGTGTCTGAGAAGTGGGCACAGTTCTTAATTTGTTTTTGGAGCTCTTAATACCTCAGTTTACTTTTTGAAAGGTTGTAGAACAAAGGCCATTTTATGGCTTGGTTTTGTAACTGTATTGGAAAAGGCAACATACAGTCATACTAGTTCTTGAATGTTAATAGTAGAAAAAAAATCACTGAAAAATCAGTTTTTGCATTATTGATGGAAAAATGTAACATACAGTATGTAATTAAACCTGTATTTCTCAGGAAAGTGACACCTTAATATTGTATTTCATAGTACTTACAGCTTTATCTAGCTAAAGCTCATGATCATTTCACTGAGAAATTCCCTGTAGAACTTTTGCAGGGGACATATATCTGATTTTTGTTCTGCAGTGTTTGACAGTTCTTCAAAGACTGGATGTATGGTTGTCTGGAGGGAATGATCTATGTGTTTGGAACCGAAAATTAGATCTCTTGTGTAAGACCAGTCATCTTACTGATGCAGGTAAAAATGTAAATGACTCATTATAGCTGTTAAAGTGCAAGTAAAATGGATCTGTATAATGATGCAAAACCAATTTGGCAAATTCTCTTTAATTCTAATGATAACATTATGTATTAGAGCCACTCTCTATTTTTTTAAATGTCAGACCTAATCGTTTCAGAATTAAGACTGCTTTTAATCTCCTGTGCTATGTGAATTTTAGAATATGTCAAATCTCAGTAACTGTACATTAGCTTGGACTTACAGGCCTCGACCTCGGATGCTGATTTATACGCGTTTGCTGTTATGTGGATCAGATCCTTTGGCTGTATTTCTCTGTGAACAAGCAGGAGTTTTATTATACCCAAGTAAAGCTTTGTAGTAATAGCGCAGTAAAGATTTCTTTTTATTATTAAGAATCAGTACTTTTGATGTAGAAAATGCAGGTTTTTATAGAAATGTAGCAAATGTAATGAGATCTCAATGTCAGTCATGCTTTTCTATTAATAAGCTTATATATTATCTGTCCATACAAAGAAAATGGTTTCCTATTATTGCCATACTTTACAAACATACCTATGAAACTGTGAATCGCACTGAAAGGTGTAACCAATATTTTCCTTATTTTTGTCATAGAATGGAGTAATGGTAGGCAAAACTTTCTGAATCTTTGAGGATATTAATCCTTCTTTAGGTTCAATATGAAGTATCATGCCAAATACCAGTTGGAAGTGGTGCTGTAGTGCGTAGTTTGAGGTGCTATTGAAACTTTTGTACAGGCTGTCAACACGATGTGCAGTATGGGCCTTCTTTTCCCTCCTAATCTCTTGGTTCCTTTGTGGGCAAAGAAACAGATTGCTTATTCCTTTGGGAATTTTCCCTTAATGGTGTGGCAGCACAGACTGGGGGAATTCTGTGCAGGATGAAGGCAGAGTAACAGCAAGCTGGACATTTTATCTTGTGCCCTATTCTTCAGCTACCTCTGCATGCTATTTTAGGATCATGTATGCTGTGGTAGTGTCAGTATCTAGTAACTTGGGTACTGCATATGTTTAGAGTCTCAATAATTACCACAGTGTTCTTAATATTGTCCAGCATTAGGACATAAACATCTTAACTGTATTTAAAATAAAGTTTATTGATTCCTTCAAGTTTCATCCTTCACCTCAAGTTTTACGTTCAGAATTTTGCTGGATTCAGGACCAAAACTCTTGACTACATCCATCTGAGGTGATCTGTTCACTTCCAATGCTGTTTGACTTTCACTTCAGGCAATATGCTTTTATTTTGGTAATAACTTGTAAGTGGAAGGATGATTATGAAGAACTTTATTGATAAGGAATTATTGGTTTGCTGTGTTTTCTTGTGGTCATATCCTTTTCTCCCTTACCTCCTATATTTTTCCAAAGGTATCAGTGCTTTGGTTGAATTGCCTAAAAATTGTGTTGCGGCAGCTGTTGGCAAAGAGCTAAGTGAGTATGTTGCATTTCTGTTAAATGTTCATATACCTCTATAACAGTTGCTTATCAGAGATACGTGTATAGGGCACGCTGCTGGAATTGTATAGGAAAAGTGATATTAGGGTGTGATTAACAACCTCCTTTATCCCTTATTTGTCAGAGGCAGACAATATTAGTCTCATTCAGAAATTTTGTTGAGATGTGCATGACAAAACTTTTCTATATTCTTTGTTATTGTTATTGACACCTGTCCAGATCTGATTGTGGCGATCTACACTTGTCTTTCTCAAGAAGGTCTGGAACTCATTATTCTGAGCTGTCAGATACTAGGCTTCTCTAGAGCCTCGTTATCTCAAGATCAGGAGCACGAGCTATTGCTGATCTTGTTATACTGTTCAAAGCTACAATAACACAATGCGATGGTTTCCATTGATCAATTGGAGACAGGGTTTTCTATGTACGCAAACAGTAAATCACTGGCTAGCTGTCGGTGGAGAGGCTTTTAAATAAGAGCGTTTTATAAAATTACTGAAATTTGGAAGTATGTGAAAAAATCCAGGAAAAAAAATAGAGCACTGAATCAGCAAAACAATAGACTTTGCTCAATATGATTAAACGCGTAGCTGAAAAATAGCAGCCTGATACTGTGATTGAAGAATGAGGAGCAAATTGAAAATAGTTGTCTTGTGTTTAGACTTCGGTGTACAATGTAAAGTTGCATCCGAACTTCCCACAGTTCATTTGTAGTGCCCTTGAGATACCATAAAAGAAATTCCTGGTTAAAATAAAGTCTTAATTCCTGGTGATCTTGATTGCCTTACTAGAGAATATTGCATCCTTTTGAACAATAGTTTTCAGTCAGATGAGCCCTTTAAAAAAGATGTTTTGCTTTTAGTTTACTTATCCATAAAGATGTCTAATAATTTCACTTTCTGCTTTCTGCAGCTTCTCCGTTGACTAATGACTGATTCCCTGAATTTCAGAGTTACTAGGCTGAAATCTTTTATCCTATAGTTGCTGTAGTAAGAGGCCTTAATAGTAACACTGAAATAATTTGTTCTCCTTTTTTTAGTCTTATGAGTGGTCATAAGTGGGTTGGCACATATTGTGCTGTCTTACGTATAATATGTTTTAGCTTGTGTCTTTCTGAAAATCATGTGTTTCATTTAAGCATAGCTACATTTTATTCTGAATGATAATGCTTATTTAGACAATTTCTGTCTTTGAAGTAATTTTTAGGTTGATTGCTTCTAATGATGGGTCTGAAGGTTGGGATGTCCTTGAAGTAAAACGCCTTGTTGACCATCAGGATAACATTTTGTCCTTAGTCAGTGTCAACGGTAAGAGTTGTCTTACAATGCTACTAGTTTTGTTAGTTACCAGTGGGATATTTCAACTAGTTTTTATTGGGGACCAAACTTTTAATTGGAGTGAAACTTTATAACTAGTAGATGTACCTTCCTGTGTAGCTGCCAAGGTAGTGAAATGTGAAAATATAATGCCTTTAGTCATGGATTAACAGTGAAATGAAACCAGGCAGGTTATGATGTAGAAAAGGCACAAAAGAGGCAATGTCATTGGTGGGTATGGAACTCTGGGTCTTGTTCCTGCTGGGAAAGTTTAAAATGCTACTTTTTTTCTTGTTCCTCTTGATTCTTGGAATGTACGATGCCACATCCTTTGCAGCTGTAGTCCTAAGGTAAACTGAAAGTTCTGGGTGTGTGGATGTGGGCCTGCATATACATCCGTTATGTAGAGACTCTGGAAGATGATGTGATCTCTACTGCTCATTGAGGCAATAGTGAGCTATTACCTGAAATTCTGTTTACTACAGGTACCAACCACTTCTACTTTGTTCTTGCCTGTCTTTTTTTTCATGGAGCCCAGGACAAATTATTCCATGTGTGCTAGAGAGTGTATATTTGTCCTTGGGCTTATTTGTGCCAGCCTGGTTGGCACAAAGGTGCTGTGGCACAGAGGTGACAAGGAGCTGGAAAGAAGAAAACTTGGATTCTATGGTAGTTGTTTCTGACGTTTCCTGTGGCCATTCTTTTCCCCTTTTTGATTATGAAAGGGAAACAATACTGGGTGTAAAAAGACAATATGCTACCTGCATTAAATATTGTTGAATCAGTCCCTCTCCATGTGTGATTAACAAATTCATGAGCAGCTATGTCAATCTTGCCATTAACTCATCCATTTAATTTGTGATCAGTATTTCTTTTTATGGAAAAGACATACTTTGCTGTGTCTGAGGGGTGCAGATACACCTACTTGTCCATGGAATAGAAGGGGTTTGTATGTAGGCAACAAATGAACTTTAAATATTTTCACATACTCCTGGTGGTGGTCGTTGCCTTTGCTATACTGTACTGGGCAATGTGGCCAGTTCATGTTCTCCTTCCTAGTTTTAATTTTACAAGAGAGCTCATTTCCTTTTGCTTACCTAAGCTATGCTAGGTACCAAATGAATATTTACTCAAGGGGGGTATTTTGTCCAGTCAGTTACATACTGCACATTGTATGTAGCTTCACTTGAAAATGGGCTCTCTTAACTTTCTAGGGATGTAACCTGGTGTGAAATGGATTTTTTAATATAATGTGATCTTTCTCTATGTGTTTTTTGTTTGTGGTCCTGTTTCCCCCTCCCCTCCCCCCCCCAGACTTGACTTTTGTGACAGGTTCGCATGTGGGTGAATTAATAGTTTGGGATGCACTTGACTGGACAAAGCAGGCATCTGAGTGCAACTTCTGGGACTCCTCTGTTCATCCAGATGCACAACCGGAAATAAAGTTAACCCAAAGCCCAAATGAAACTTCAGTTCAACACTTAGCATCTGGTGAGGAGGTAAAAATCCTTAAACAGAGTAAACTTCAAGTGAGCTAGCATGAACCTTACCACAGAAGGCCAGGTGTTTTGTGTTTTCAGTTTGCTTGTAACAGGAGAGGCTTCTTTAAAATGTGCGCTGCTATTTTTATACAGTCAACAGTTTTTATGTAAAATTTTTATCATTGAGATAACTGAAAGTTATAATGTGTTGATGGTATGGGAACTAACATAATGGACTGTCACAACAGCATTTCTTTTTGACTGATAATTTATTAGTTGTTCACAGTACCACCAGAGAAAAACATAGGTGTGTGTTTTGATGGCATACATCTTTCATTCCATGGTTCTAGAAATGTAGTTTCCACAGTAATGCACCTGTTGAACACTTACAGCTGAGGGTACTATGAAATTAATTAAAGAACCAGCATACGTCAATGCTTAGTAGTAAATAAATATTGCTGCTTCTGTTCAGATGGGCTATGCTTAATTGTAAGAAGCACACATGTGGGTCCAAAATGTCATCATGCTTTTGGAGATTGCCAAAGAGTTCATGGTCAGAATACTTGGGCAGAACTCAGTTCAGGAAACACTAAAAATCCTCAGATTGTTGTTTACTTTTGTGAAGTGTTACCAAGTGTTAGTGGCAAAACAAAAGATGTTTCATAGTTGGTGTACAGTGGGATTCTGTTTTGGGGCCTGTAGATCCACTGCTGGGGAATGATTAAGAAAGGGATTTCTGGAAATGGATTCAGAGATACGAGCTATAACAGAGTAAAAGCTGTGGAAATGCCTGAATGTAGTCTGAGGGCCAACTAGTCACCCAACGCGCTTGTCTGTGGAAAATGCATTCCTAAAACACTGGAGAGAGAAACGCTGAGGGGGGAGGGGTTTGGAAGTTCTAGAAGGAGTTTTGGTTTCATAACATTCTGACTCCCTGCTTGAAAGCTACACAAGATGTGTTTCAAGGGAGTGTCACAGTTTAATCCCAGCCAGCAGCTAACAACTGTGCAGCCTGTCTCACTCACTCCTCTCCCCACCTCCTCCATTCGGTGGGATGGGGAGGACAATCAAAAAGGAAAAGGTAAAACTTATGGGTTGGGATAAAGACAGTTTAATGGGACAGCAAGGGGAAAAAAAAAAGATAAAAGAATACAGAAAGTAACTGATGCATAATACACTTGCTTGCCACCTGCTGACTGATGCCCAGCCAGTTCCCAAACTGCAGTGCCCCCAGCCAAGTCCCCTCAATTTGTATGTTGAGCATGACATCATAAGGTATGGAATACCCCTTTGGCTACTTTGGGGCAGCTGTCCTGGCTGTGCCCCCTCCCAGCTTCTTGCTGGCAGGGCATGAGAAGCCAAAAAGTCCTTGACTGCATAAGCACTACTTAACACACTGATGGTTTTAGTTGTTGCTATCAAGGTTATCCTCTTACTAAATCCAAAACAGCACTATACCAGCTACTAGGAAGAAAATTAACTCTATCCCAGCTGAAACCAGGACAGTGTGGGGGAAAGAATATTGGGAAGTTCAGAAATAGTTAAAATACTGAATGTGGAATCTGAGGTTGCAGAGGACTTTCTGCCATTCATGGAACTGAACTAAACACATTCTGCCGCATTTTATTTATTGTGAGACTTTTGAATGGTGGGAAGAAAAGTTGATTCTAGTGTTACATTCTGAAATAGAAGGTGCTTTTAGGGCAGAACTGTCTGTATTGTAAAGTTCCTGCTTAGAAAGTGGTGAAGAAATGTATTCCTATAATGAATTACTTCGTTACCTATGTTACCTTTGTTACCTGCTATCTAAAAGCAGAACACTGTTCTTCATGGTTAAAAAAAAAAAAAAAAAAATTGGTGTTTTTTCTGTTAGGAACTTTGTCAGTAGGCTTGGTAGTTAGGTAGTTGGAGAAGATATACTTGTCTAGTTTGACACTGAGCTTGTGGGCAAAACATCATTCAGAAACAAATGGGATGGTAAAGGTTTGACAATACAAGGAAACAGTGCTAAGGAGTGCATCTGCTGTCCCGATACGTGTGTGTATGTGTTTAACTTGCCTATTAAGACAGGTGTACAATTTATGCTTCATCATTTGTTATTTTGCTGGGGTTTGAGATGACCAGGGTTTTGCTGGGGCTTGTGTGAAGAGCATCTTTTGCAAAGTTATAAGAATATATGAAACTCAAGAGCCTGTCTTAATGTGGAAGATTGTGAGGAAGAAAAGGCTGAGGTATAGGAGTGCAAAAGTTATGTGGAAGGCCATTGAACTGAGCCTCATATAAAAATGGACTCAGCGTTTTCCTCTTGATTTGGCAGAGTGCTATCAGAAATCTGAGCTTAGTTTCAGATATATTGGGGCTCTCACCACAGATGTGCATAAGAAAGAAAACAAAACACCTACAAAACCCAACAAAAACCTGGACAAAGAGTTTTGAACAGTGTCAAAACGCTGTTGATATATAGGACGTCTTAGTCTATCTTGGTCAAAGACACTGGGTTACCAGTTTTAGAAAATGTTGATAAGTGTGTGGTGTGAATTGCTTATGAGATGTTAATGTTTGGGCTGTGTGGATGGAAGCAGGCCATTCAGGGAAAAGATCCAGTATACCATCACCTAAACAAGGTATGTTCAAAAACTCAAGTATGTACTGAATGGCAGCATTTTGCACTCCCTTGTTTGGTATGAAATATTTATTGTGTCTACCTACACATGAGTGTACATTTGTCCTCTGTAAAACTATTACATGTCATGAGAGTGTCCAGGTCCAATGATCTGTAAACTATTTGTAGCTTCTTACGGCTGTGATGGTTATGAGATGGAATCCCTGCACTTTCCTGAAGAAGAGCATTGAAAGTAAGATAGTTCCAGATTTTTGCAGTATTGTGAAATACCTTTCTGTGAGAGAGTTCCTTTTCTACATTGAGTAGAGCCCAAATGCTTGAGCAAGACCTTTTTGTGCAGCTTCAGTTAAATTAAAAAAAAAATTGCAAAAATGCAGAACAACTTCCTGTATTTTCAGGCTTCCTTGATAAAGGAAGAGTTTGTTGAACACAGAGCATTATTTTAGTGTAAGAACTGTGAATGTTTAATTGCAGAAATGTGTTGATTTGTTTGGTATCCTTGGTTTCCGCTTAGACTGTAAGGTACGGGATGAAAATACAGAAATGAAACAACTGCTTAGAGTGTAGGAGGGTATCTCTCACTTCGTCCAAAAAGTCTATTTTTTTTCTATAACTGGCTGATTTTGTATGTTTGGGATAAAATATTAACACAAGGACAGAAACAAGATAGATAATATGAGCTAGATGACATCATAGTACTGCTGGAAATCCATTACATGCAGGCTGATCTTTCAGTGTCTGTTTCTCTAAGTTGTTCCATTGAATTTTCTTTCCAGTGTGTGTTTGCTGCTGTTGGGAAAGGCATATACGTATATAATCTTCAAATGAAGCGTGTGATTGCCTGCCAGAGAACTGCTCACGATTCCTCTGTACTGCACATTGAGAAGCTTCCAAACAGGTACAAGTCATGGTACATTTTTGTTAATGCAGTAAAGAAATGCACGACTTGGGTGGCTAGAGACAGTCTGCAAAGCTACATCTAATTTCTAGGGCAGGGACTTGATCATTACTTTGATCTACTTTTATTAGATAGAGCTTGTTGATCTGATTTTTGAAAATGCATCATTGTAATTCAATGTGAAATAACTGTAGTCAAGTATGCTTGATACACAGGCTCAGAGTAAAATACCTTGGCTGTTTTCAAAATCAGACTTGATAAAGCACTGCTGTCTACATTGCGAAAATACAGCTTGATGGCCGTTTACTTCTATAAAGCAAAGGCCTATGGCATATTCATAGATATTTTTCACTAAGTATTTCATTACAATTGAGATGTTTTAACAAAAAAATAGAACTTTGTTCATTAGTGCTGAATTTCTAGACGGAATTTAGACAGCTGGGTTGGACAATTTGCTGTGTAAATATAATCTAATATTTGTGTTGTTAGATTCTTTTTATACTCTTGTTCAAAAGAGCAAAAGTCTGTCAGAAGATAAGAATTAGGGCCTTGATCTTGTAAATGCATGTGCTGTTCTAAACATGCAATGAAAAAGAGTATCTTCTGTTCTGTTATTTTTTCGTAAGAAAAAATATATTTTTGCTTAATAAAGGTAAGCATACGGAAGCCAGTTTGTGCAACTGTGTTTGCAGAGTCTAGACTTGTTATTTTTTGTTTTACAGAGTGGTATGCTTTCAAAATGGGATTGAGAATTTGTATTTTTTTCCACCTATTTTGCAAGTCCATTATAGTTTGTCCTGCTATAGGTGCACCTTCTTTTGTATGGAACACCTGGTTGTCTAGCTACATTTGAGAGCTCTAGCAAACTTGTGTAGAACCTGAGGCACTTGCTGTGTCTTTTATAGAAACGTCACAAGGTGACTTAAGCAGGTAAGCATCCATGCTGGTGTTGCTAGTCAACTGTTTTTACAGGCAGCTGATCTCCTGTTCTGAAGACGGCAGCGTGCGCATTTGGGAGCTCCGAGAAAAGCAGCAGCTGCCAGCTGAACCGGTTCCAACAGGTTTGCTAGTAGTGGGGGGTGAAAAGAACATTTTAAAAAGGGTAATGGGAAACCCAGTATACACCATATAGGGGCATACAGGCATTGTAAGAAGAGATAATGCCTTGTGTTCAACCAACTGATAAAAGGTGTGGGAGAGAAACAGAATAAGACAAGGGTATACAAGCCCTCCAATATCTGGTATGGGAACTTAGAAGGTCCAAGTGAAGCAGTTCTCTGTCATAAAGCTTATTTAGAGTTTACAGTTGTATCAGCTGGTTTAACAAAAATGATGACCTCTCCTGGCAAACCTTGATCCACATCTCCTTGTACTGATAGCGCCAGATCCTCTACCATGCAAGAGTAAATAGTTGCAGGACCTTGTGAAGAAGGCTAATAAGCAGCTTGCAGATGAGCAGCTGGCACAAGAAAATGCATTTTCCCCACCTCCTCCTTGAACTTGGAATGACATTGGGACTTACTTTGAGGCTGCACCCAACCTCATTTACATACTACCTCTGGGTGCCACAGTGTTCTGGGCTAGTGCTGTAGTTGCTAGTGTTTTAGGAAGCATTTTCTCCAAGTGCAGACATTGCCTGTGTAGTACTTGCTGCTCTTTGACCAGGCCAGCAGCTTCCCTGGGCACTGGTAGTTGTGGTGTTGGACAGGTGTTGGACAATATAATTATTTTTATGGACTGGGAACAGTAATGAACTGTTACCCTTTCTTGTAGGATTTTTTTTTTTTTAGATCAAGAAAATTATTCACAGCTTGAATTATCTAGTCTACTTGGCTGTTCACTTGATGATGCTAATTTTAGCAAATAACTTTTTGCTGCATTGGTTAATTTAGAAACACTTTTTCAGGAATGTTCTGTCTTCAGTATTGCTGGTGGCAGCTGGTCTACACAGTTATACTTTTTATTCTGACAAGTGGAATTTGGTTTCACATTGGAAATCTATAACTTATATAATCGGAGACACTTGAAAGAAGCCATATGCAATAGTGAGATAGGTGGACTCTGTTTTTATTCTAAGGAATCCCTGGAGTAGTTGTTTATCTCTTCAGTTATCTCCCTTGCACCCGGGCCATGGTCTAGCACACTTACTTTGTGTGCTGATGGGGCTGAGGGAAGGGTCAGGAAGAAAGTCTGAACTGCATTGTGTACAGAACCCAACTTTTTTACTTCTGTCAGTATTACTACACAGTTCTTCTGGTGGCTGCAGCACAGATGTGTATTTTCTTGCTATCTAAATGGAACATGTGGAGTACTGTCTTTACACTCGAGTTTGGCTGATAATTTTAAATCTGAAGGAGAAAGCCAGTGGACAGTTTAAAAACAGGCAGTTGGGCATGAGTTGCTTAACTACCTGTATGCCAGCACTCTAATGTGTTAGTGCAGGACACACAGTGGACAGAATGGCACTTCATTTCTCTCTTCTTTGCACAAGTAACAGTTTAGGAGGACAGAGCAAAGGTAAACATCACTGCTCTGCATCTACCTTTGCTGTTCAGTTAGTTCATTTAGGTCATCCTCAGATTTCTTGCTAAATCTGTATATTGTCTCATCCAGGTGAATAATTCAACATGTTTGCTAAATTACATCCAGTAAGGACAAAAGACAAAGTAGCTTGTTTCCTTCCCCGCTTAAGATGAGTAATCCAGATGTAGAAATGCTGTGCACTACAATACTTCTGTCATTTTGCCATGCAGACTGTCCTACTTTTAGATTCTAAGTGACTCCTGTAGTTTTCTCTTTAGCTAGAGGAAATAAATTGCATTTGTGACTTTTGCCAATTTTTTTTTTTTTTAAATGTCCTGCAGGGTTTTTCAGCATGTGGGGATTTGGAAGGGCAAACAAGCAGGCAAACCAAGCTACTAAGAAGATGCAGGAGAATACACCTATGTATTTCTTGGAGCTGGTTGGTGATTTGATTGGTCATTCATCAGCTGTGCAGGTAGGTCAGCTTTAGTAAGAACAAGAAAAAGTGAATTTCACTTACTAATGTAATTTTGTCAGTGTTTTTTAGACAGCTGAAACTTTCAGTTGTCTGTCGCTCGAAGCTGGGAACACATTGATTGTGTAGTATGTTTAGTGTGCTGTTGAAAACAATAGTACATACTGAGTTAAAGTTCTGATGAGAACTCCAACACTCACTGATGCCTGAGGATTGCGTGTGCAGATATATACATACATGCTACAGATAATCAGGTGGGGTATTGGGTTTCTTTATAGACTGCAAACAATACAGCTGGGAACTGTGTGTTTGTTCCAGATTTCATCTTAAGTTCGCAATCTAAACAAGGGTTCATGTAAAACAAAACCCATCCAGGAATTCCTTAGCCCTCTGTGCTGTGAGACTTAAGGAGGTCTTTTAATTTTAGATTGGGTACTATTCTGTGCTTCTCTCTACCTAATAGAGTATGTTTTTGTTTTAAATGGTGTTTTCCCTCCACACCTTTTAATGTTTGACAAACCTATTGGACTAACAAATCATGTTCTTACAGTGGACTTCGGGGGAAGGGCAGGTAGAGAGAAGTGGTGTGGTTCTGGACTAGTTTTTCCTCACAAGAGTTTATGAGACTGACTAGATTTCAGAACTGCTACTGCCAAAAGCTGACAGCTGTTCACTAATGGCTAAGGTGATCCTTTCTGCCACAGGGATTTCTGCAAGGCTTTCTGCCCTTCTCTACCATCTTTCTGTCTGAAAAACTGTTGAGAGAGACCCTATTATAAGTATGGAAAGTCTTATGAAATCTAAGAAAAGAGGACATAGTGTGTAGTTCAGCAAGAGGCACAGCAAAGAAGGTGAGAGGCACATGTTGGGTCTTTACTGGGATGCTGCAGAGCCACGGGGTGAGATGATGGTAGATGTGACTTCCTGGAACGTTCTTTATATGGAAAATTCCATTTTTAAACTCTGCTCAGACTGGAGCAATTGAGGCTGGAAACGTTGACTGGTGATGAATGTGGTGGTCAGAGATGTGGGCTTGGTCAGAGTATTTCTACTGGAACAGTGTTGCTACTAAGTGGCTATTCCCCGAGCATGTAGGCTGTAGCACAGTCTTTGGCCTGAATGCTTCCCCTAGGCAGAACACTTCAAGAAGTTGAAGTCAGGACACTGCAGGCATGCCATAGTGGCATGACGTGACCTGGTTCCATTGGCTCTTGTGTTGAACTGCAATTAGTGGCTAATTGTAGGCAGCACTGTGGAGGTCTCTGAAGTCAGGGATGACTACATGACTTGTCAGCTTCATTGCTCTTGCAAAGTCTCTCCACTGCTGCTGTACTCTTCTGTGTCACAGTTCTTGCTGGTTTGGCTTCCTCTGTGTGACCAGGCACATGCTGATGTCTGTCACAATTGTTTACTCTTTGATCTTTCCAGGCCTGATGATGGTAGCCTGTGGTTTTGTGTGGGCAGGGGACAGTGTACCCGAGTGAAAAGAACAGTGGCTTCTATTCCTAAGAAACCAGGAGATCAGAGTTCATGCAGGTCACTCTTCTACTGCTGACTTGGAACAAGTTTCTTCAATATACTGTACCTTAGCTTCCCTATGTGTAAGGCTTTACTGCTTTTTCTAAACTGAGATCTTTCAGTGTGAAGAGTGTTTAAAGAGTTGTTTTCATGTAGGCATTTTATGACATCTCAAACATATAGAAAGTATACATTGTAATTTTGCATACCTATGTTCAAGCAGAACCATTTCAGACACATGTATTTGTTCAGTCCAGCTGTGCACTGAACATTTAAGCAAGCTGACAATCTCATGTGAGCTCATGGTAATAGCAGTGGTTTCATTGCAGATGTTCCTGTACTTCGGTGAACTGGGACTGGCTACCTGCTCTGCTGACCACCTTATTATTTTGTGGAAGGATGGTGAACGAGAATCTAGACTCCGCAGTTTAACACTGTTTCAAAAATTGGCACAAAATGGTGATTTGCAGCTCAAATTTTAAATTGCTCCAATACAGGCTACATATGTATAAACAGGATGTTTGTTAAAGGTGAGCATAAAGGAAAGTCTGAGCTACTGGGAATGTGTCTACCAGTAAGGTTTACACTTAATGTCATGTATTATATTGGAATTTTTATTAGTTGCTACTACGCATTCTTAAAGGAGAATTTTGCATGTTGAAACTCACTTGGCTTACTGTCAGCAGAAATGGTGTTCTCTTGAAAGACTGAAGATAATGAAGACTCATTAAATGTTTCTAATAATATTCTTAATGTTTAAAAATATCATGGGTGGATGTTAAAATTAAGATTTGTGAAAATCCTTAGATGGATCATTAACTAAAGCAGTTGGGGGCATTCCACAGTGTTACATGCAGAAAAGAGGCACAGAAAAAAATCTGAGGCTTCCTGCTTTATGTAACTTATTTCTCGAAGCTGAACTTTCGTCACTGATGGCTCAGATTTATGTATCTATAAAAAACACCCAAAGAACCAGTTTTCAAGTAGAATTTTTGCATTTGAAGTTACTATCCTGCACCAAGGGTAAGAGCAAGAAAGATAAGTAGGCAGTACCAGTTTGTCAGGTTTTAATTTTTTGCAAAGCAAGATGTATAGATACTTCCTGCTTGCAGCAGCTACAGTTTTACTGTGGGTTAACCTACACTATGAGAGTTTATACAGCACCATTAGCATGTCTAGCATGAAGTATGATTGGTTTAGATCAGTCTTTCCGTAGTGTGTTCATCAAATTAATTTGTATCTAATAAAAAGCACTGGCCTTACCATGGATTTTCAGGATGTACAATACTTTCTTAAGCAGTCGCAGTTGATGTGTTCAATACTAGCAAAACACTGCTGCCAGATGAATACTAAATTCTCAGCTGAAGTTCGACTGCAGAGAAATCTGCACCAAGTTTGTAAGGATAAATAGTATTGTAGAGTTTAAAACTAAAAAGCTTCTAATTACATAATGCCTTTTTCAAATCTGAGATAGCAGTAGTAATCTGCAAGCTAAAGGAGAGTAGGAAAAAAACCTCAAACTAAAACAAAAACCCCAAACCAAAACAACAAAAACACAAAAGCAAAACCAAAACCCAACAAAAGTTAAACCCAGAACTGATACAAAGAAAGTGGGAAGATGGAAGAGTCAGTCTGCATTGTTTCAGCTTGTCTTCATCAGCAAGGGTTGCATTTTTGGAGAGATCAGTTTCTCTTTGGCTCTTTTTTTCCTTTTTTCAATTGAGAAATAACAGTTTAGTTCTGTATAAAGTATGTGTTTACACATTGTTACTAAAACTTTACAGCTAAAGCTTATAAAACTTAGGGGTTTTTTTGGGAGGCTGCTGCTATGATCGGTTACAACTAGAGAGAAGGAACATCATCTTTTTATTCTTTCTTCTGCCTATACAATTGAGAACAACTATTTCATTTTTATGTGACTGCTTTTAAGTGAATACTTGGTAGAGAAACAGACCTATTTAACTGAACTGTTCTAGTCACAAAACTCACTGTACATTTTGCAGGGATGTAATTCAGCCTTAAATAGTCCTACATGCATGTATACATATTTGTATCTGTCAAGTCCCATTGTTCTCAGATACACTCTGTTGGTAATAGATGTCCCAAGGATCTCTTCCTTTAAAGGTGGTTGAGTTGAAAGTATTAAATTGAGTCCTTTTTTTACAAATGAACTTTGAGCATAACAGTGAACACAGTAAGGCTATACTAGCCCACTCTCATTAAATAAGAGTTTGTCACTTGCTGTTAAGAAGTGCGGTGAGCAGAATCAGGGTGAACCAATTAGAATTTTACTTCCACCTTGTGTCCTTTTAAATTTCTTTTTCCACATCCCAGTTAATGCAGAATTCCATACGTTCACATCATGAAAATAAGTATCTTTATCAGACCTACCCTTAATACTTGTACAACTTTGAGGCAGCTGTTTTTAAGTATCTGTGCACTGACAATCACATAAAACAAGCAGCTGTTAGTCAATGGGACAGGTTGGAGTCTAGGAGATCTGGCACAACTGGCACATGACAATTAATCTATACTGATTTCTTTTGCTCTCGGAGAAGACATCTCTCCACACAAATTACTTTTTTGCTTAGTCTCTGGTTGTGGGAAGAAACACAGGATCTTGCAACAAATATACTGATTCCACATTAGCGCCTTAACTCGTGAACCAGAACTGAGGCTGAACTTTATTTCTTAGGTTCCTTCCACCATTCACATTTGCTTCCTTGTGACAGAATTGTGACAAAAAAAATGAATTGAAATGTTTTACGTGGATGTGGTCTACATTGCTGCTGTATTTAACAAATTAAGATGGCAAAACTTTGAATCTTGTGAAATTCTTCTCTAATGCAAGCTTCAGTGAGCATTCAGTCATCAGAATAGTTAAGGTACAACCACCGAGAGCACTAGTTCTAAATAAATGAATGGTAACAGCAAGCAGTTTACAGTGTAAAAAAAATCCAGAAGTTCAACTTATCTGAATAAAAATCCATGAAGAATGTTGCAATATATAATAAAGAGAATGAATAAACATATTTCACCAGAAACACCATTCTTCAAATATACACAATGCAGCATTTTAATACACAGCAACCTGCCTTAGCTATGACAAAAGTAAGGTTCTATTACAATTCTAGCAAAAATATAGCTTATATACATTTCTCTGCACGTACATTTTTGAATGTTTCCTTTTGTTTTCAGAACTTGGTACAAAACATACAAAAAAGGTTGGCACATTATGTAAGCTACCTGCAGTAAACAACAAGCATTGTTACTTTTCTTCCATAGCAATCTAAATTTCTTCCCCGCTCCC